TCATCGGCGTGCTCGGGAGGTCCCCAATGACGTCCCCGGGGGCCCGGACGACATCGGCACTACCAGATTTGGACTCAGCGTGCGAGAAAACCCCCGAACAGAACAGGGTATTTATTAGTCGTCCTGGTCGTTCCGATGTTGACGGTCGGTCGGTCGGCCAAACCGTATCTTATTTTGACAGCCCCTATGCGCACTTGGTGAGCGAAACTGTGCTGCCGTTCCGCTGTCCTCGCCAAACCACGGCCTTCGCTCGGCATCCTGACATCCTCTCATTCAAGCTGATATTTAGCCGACGGAGATCTTTATTCGGTGTCTCGCGCAGGTTGTGCCCCTCTGAGGCCTTGTCGTCCCATGCATTCTTTCGCTAGACGGACCATGGATCGGCCCCTACGGTTCCCCTCCCCCCCAGCCAGAAAGTGTTCGAAAGTGTCCTCCGGCCGTCGACGCGGCCCCGTCCAGGTCGACTCCACTCCACAACATGGGCGAGCGCTGAGCCTGTTGGCCCTGCGCTGCGGTGGCATGGTCGCATCTCATGCCGCTGCAGATGGTGAGTAGTCGTCGTCGTCGTCGTCGTCGTTCGCCAGTAGAGCTCTGGCAAGATCGCCTCGCAGACCGGCCTGCACGGCCGCGCCCAGCCAGCTCCAGACTGGGTGGCGGGTATTAGACGGTCGAAGTAGGCCGTTTTGCAGAGCTCTGCTTCACAGCTTACTTTTTTTGCCGAACAGCTCGCAATGCGTGTGGCCTAAGAAGGCGCGGCTGGGCGGATAGCTCGAGAGTGTAGTGTATCAGCCTGCTGTACAGCGAGCGGGCCGCCGGCTTCACTCAGCTGCTTGGCGGGTTTGCCTACCCTGCGCGTTGCAGGCGCTCTGGGGGGACCTGGAGAGCTAGAACTGAGCGGCGGCGCTCCTTTCAGCTGGTCGTTCCGAGGTTGACGGTCGGTCGGTCGGACAAACCGTATCTTATTTTGGCAGCCCCATAGCGCGCGCCGGGCGAGCCGGGCGGCGTCAGGCATGCATCGAACGGCTTTACTTCTGAACAGTCAAAACAGCCATAAGGGTACGGAGAGACGCGGCTGGAGCTGGAGGAGCGACATGTTCCAGGCAAGCGGTGTCGCAGAAGCGATCGCCTCCAGTTCTTCCGTTCAACGAGTTTATAACGCCCGATGCAACTCACTCGTTCATCCCAGAGCCAGAGATAAGCCAGCAAATCTGAGGTGAAGAAGTGAGCAAAGAGCGCACACGCTTATTCGAAAGTCAAAGCAAACCGAGAGCGAGTGAGTCGCAGGGGCGTGCGGCGGTCGAATGTCGGCTAAACGAACGCGGCGCGACCAACATGCACTTCGGCGGCTCGGACTTTACCAAAACAGTACAAAACGCAGTACGTATGGCAGCTGCCCAGTAGAGTAGAGGGCCCGCGCCCGCACCGGTGCACCGGGCTCGAAGGACTGGGCTGTGAAGCATCGTCTCCAGAGAGGGGGGGGGGGGCTATACCGGCTCTTCTGGACCTTTAACGCTCCCACTCTGGCTACTGCAAGCCCTACAATCCTTGCTTCCTAAAGGGATTTCATGCCTGAATTTCAGGACTGTCCAGGAGTAACAACTAGAAACAGTCGCCGACTAAGCCTCCGTCCTAACTCCCCCCCCCC